GCCACTAGAAAAACAGTGTTAATAATTCATGCAGTTCCTGCTGACTTCTCTATTAAAAGTAAAACTGTGAAAATAATAATTTCTAATTTACTAAACTTAGTCGTTTTTAACAAAGTGTATGCTCTTTGAGCGGAACATAGTGATACCATTGTGTTGTAATCACCATTTACCTACCTATTTTTACTATTGCTTCACAAATAAAGACTTTGTGTTTGTTTTTTTTTTAAGTTTTTTAACAAAAGCTTTGCGCTTTTGAAAAGTCTTGACGGGTTTTGTGTCTCACATTTCAATTGGATTGTGTTCTTTGCTTGAGTAACAATAAAAATCTATTGAAACAAAACTGTATCTCAGGATACCAGATTATTGCAAGGTTTGTGCACAACAATTTGGTAATATTACCGAACTTATTGGTTTTATTCGGTAATAAATATTACTAGCCTTATTGGTTAGCAAGATTCCCGAAGTCTATTGGAGCGGATAATGGTAGATTGTTTTTTTAATTAAAAACGAATCTTGCAAGCTACTCCGTTTCTTTGCTACATCTCCCGGGAAAAGCGCGTAGCAACCAATTTCCTCGCGATGGTTTTCCTCGTACATTTAGTAGAGATATCTACGGAAAGCTTGCAGATTTTTATATAATAGTGTGATCCTTAAGAGCTTTTTTCTGTAGGTATTACAGAGAAAGCTCTATTCAACTTCAAGCAGAATTGGCTTTTGAATCTATGACTGATTGAATAAATTTTTCGGCATTGTTTTGTACAATACATCCGAGAACGAGAACATAGTTGACGAAAGGCCTATTTTCAGTAGAACACGTCTCTAAAACAAAAACGACTTTTAAACCTTTTATTATATTTATATTTTCTTGTGTGGTAACTACTGAGATTACGAGGTGTCATTTATAACCCCTAAGGTGCCAACGTCCGACACAAGGAATTATACAATTTCTTGGACAATAAGCAGCTTCACCTTTTTAGTCGAAAAATACGCGAGTAGAAGACAAAATGCCTATTTTCATTAGAACACGTCTCTAAAACAAAAACGATGCCTCTAACAGTAGGCGCACACCGTTGATTTTTAGTTGGCCGATAGTTGTGCCCGATTTCAAATTGTATGAAGAATCGGCCAAATCGAATCGGCGTAGTGTGCGCACTCCCACACATACCCATTACCCATACTGATCAACTACCCGACTTAACTATCGGCCGACGAAAAATCAACGGTGTGCGCCTACTCTAAAACTTTTATTATCTTTTTATTTTATTGTGTGGTAACTACTGAGATATCGACCGTGTTATCAACCCCTAAGGTGCCAACGTCCGACACACGAAATTTCATTTCTTTGGACAAACAGGTTGATTTCACGCCTGCTATGTCTAAGTATTATTATGTAAGTATGTACTTACCTCCTAAGAATAAAAAAGTAAGCAATTTATTACTCGAAACATACGCGTGTAGAAGACATAAGAGCGATTTTAAGTAGACCTCGTCGCTTAACACTAGAAAGGCCGCCGTCCCATTTTTGTCCCACTCGCGAGTTTGATCGTCTCTAACTTTTTTATTTTTCAACGAAAGTCCATGAAACTTTTTGACTTTTCCTGATTTATTGAATTTTATCATTTTTTAATGTTTTTGATAATATAACATTATTAGAAGAAAAATTAAAATCGGTTTTACCTAGAAGCGCCACTGGGTCATTTTTGTCCCACATTGGTATTTGCAACAATAATTCGATGAAGAGTCCTTGTTTCGAGGAAATACGAGAATGGGGAGGTGAGGAACGTTTAGGTGACTCATCACAATGCAGAAATGTAATTAAATTGTACTAGTTTTTGCCTGTGACTTCACCTAGTGAGAAATTAAGTTTATCATAGAAAGACCTAATTTCTTGACACTTATCGTTGTTATTTGACCAAATAACTGAATATTATTGTTATTTATAGACTATATTATGTTATTCTGAAATATTAACAATAAAACTGCAAAGTTTTATTAAGATCGGCTAAGTATTTTTTGCGTAAAAGAGTGAAAAAACAACAATCGATCTAACCATGAATCCACACTCACTTAGTTCAAGTTCAAGGCTTAAATCCACCCATTCATCCTTCCTATTCGTTCATCGGTTCATCCATCCATCAATTCATCAATCTTTATTAACTTTTACATTTATAATATAAGTAGGAAGGTGACTTCAAGACATGGGCCAGTTCATACATTGTATGATTTGATACATTTTTAAAATGTGTGACTTATATTTTTTTTTTAATTAAACGTACATACTTTTCATTGTAACTGGTAAAAAACTTCACTGAGTGTGTACGGATAACAGAAAAATAACCATACCTATAGAAGTTCCTAAACACATAGTAGACCAGAGAGACAAAAAACCATACAAAAAAACTTTGTGCAAAATGTGCACTATTATTTGTAAGATATTTATTATTTATTCAAAAAGAATAATTAATAGTTAAATTAGTAATTTCATAATTTTAATACAGTATAACACCATGTACCTAATATGTGACTATTTTTATATGAAACCAAAAATATCAGTCTTTTAATAATTAAAAATTAAAATTGAATACATTCATAATTTTTTAAGAAATAAGTACATATTGATTTAACTATATAGATAAACCATTTTTTAAGGATACTAAAAATAGTTTAAACCATAATGTTCATGCCTGATACTAAAAAATGTTACAAAATATATGCTGGGACAAAATTGACCCAGCGGCTTTATACGGGGGTCGTAATCTTCGGCACTTCTAGTGTTAAACAAAAAAGATGACTATAAGGCTGGGTTGCACCATTTTACTTTAACTTTAACGAACGTCAAAAGTATAGTCATGGTCAAAACAAGGTGGTGCAACTCAGCCTAAAACTTTTAATTTTACTGAGTGACAGTAGTTACTTAATACTGACATCACCACCGTGCTATTAACCCCTAGGATGCCAACGTCCGATACAAGGAATTATATTTCTTTGGGCAAACAAGTTGATTGAGCTTCCATTCCATCTCTAAACAAACTGAGAACAAAAATAGAAAGCAATTTAATAATCTGTGTCCTCCACCTGAGAATTGAACCTGAAAGTCGAGAGAGTTTAATCTTTGATTTCATGTTTGTAAATAAGAAATCAGTTAGGTATTTTTATAAAATAAATAAGAACCTAGTTATTATTGTCCCATAATATCGATTTTCATTTATTCCGTATTTAATATTTAGCAGCTATAATTTTTGTGTAAGCTCGGCACGTAGTACCAGTAATATTGACCTACGCGGGGTCCATGGACTTTAGGCACTATTTGACCACTCGTGAGTCTTTCTTAGCTGCTCATAATTAATTATATACGCTAATCAGCTATTGAAGGTAGAGCGTCAAGGGTTAACCACAGAAGAACTGGCTATCTTACCTCCAACTGCCGGAACACAATAATGCTGTTATAACATTATTGTTATGGCAATAAATAGACTTAGGTTAGATGGTGGTAGCTGTCAGGCAGACTTAGAACAAGCTCTATCATCATCATCATATCAGCCATAGGACGTCCACTGCTGAACATAGGCCTCCCCCAATGCTTTCCATGTTGCCCGGTTGGTCTTTCACCGCTCTATTATCATCGCTACCATCAGCTCTATCATCAACCAAACCCAAAAATATTTCCCGAAAACCAGGGACCTTTAGTCCTAAGGCAGGTGGCCTAATCACCCAACCACAAGGGCGGATAATCTCGTTTGACCTAATCTTAAATTGAAGCCTTCATATCACTCACATGGAAAAAATATTCCAATTTAAAGATACTCATACACTTTACCTTTGATGTGCTATCCTTGATGTTTTTCCGCGTGTTTCCCTTTGAAATTAGTTACCCAACCGGCAAACCGTTGCTTCTGGTTTGATGATTTGTGTATGGAAATTCCCACATTAATATTGAAATTATCCATTTAGATAATATTATTATTAGTACATTTGATGTGGTACTTTGTTGTGGAACCATGCATAATTAATTAAATCATTAGCGTCATACTCGTAACCGTATATTCACACGATATAAGAATGGAATACCTTTTAGCCATCATCTACTTAAAATAAATTTAAAGATACTCTTTTTTGTGTATTTAAGTATGTAAGGTTCTAGAGTGGAAGCCACGCACGGGAAAGCGCAGTGTAGGACGTCCAACCACAAGGTGGACCGACAATCTCATAAAGGTAGCAGGAAGGCGCTAGATGCAGGCCGCTACCAACCGGCCATTGTGGAAATCATTGGGGGAGGCCTAAGTTCAGCGGTGATTTAACGTCCTATGGCTGAATTAATGATGATGATGGTGTACGTAAAAAAAGGATAAGCAACGCTTCTTTAATTACTATGCCATGTCACCTGTCAATGGACCGACGACCTCAAGGAGATGGCACTGGCTGGATAAAAAAAGCGGTGCTTTATGGTCACATCATTTTGAGGATTACTTACACCAGCACAGCAGCGTAGATACTATCGTAGACCAAATATATCAAACGCCAGTATTGCTCATAAAGCCTAAGTATTGTACAAACATTATGTAGGTCCTTACAGTAATGTAGATAATGTTTTATTTTAGCCACAGCTGTTCTTATTTTTACCAGTCATTCACAAAAAGGGTAATTTATAAAAATCATAATTACCTATAACATTTATCAAATAATTTTACTATTTTTGGAAACCTAATAGTTATGAAAAATGTCATTTGAGTTCTTCAGTACAAATTCTATCTTTATCTAGACCAGTCAATTACGTCTTATAATTTCAAAATGTATACACAATGAAATTATGAAATTTAATACTCGTATGAAACGTAGCCGTCATGTGCGAGATTGATATTAAAAAGGTTTTGTTTCATAATAAATCTCTTAGATACAAATCACTGAGCAAGATAATCAGCCTTTATAATCGAATCAACCTTATAACCAAACACAATATTTTCTACACCAACCGTATTTTGTAAACGAAATAAAATACTCACAATAATAATCCCTCCAATACCACAGAAAGTCACACAAAGTTATCACAATACACCCACAGTTCGTCCACGACAACTTTCAGAGGGGAACGGGAGGTCGACAGTTGGGCGGCGACGCGCCCGCCCTACACGGCTCTCGGAGGCAGACTGAGGCGCAGTGTTACAGTGGCAACCCTAACAAGTGCGACCGGTCTTTTCCGCCCTGGGTAGCGGTTCTCGTAATAAAATGATCAACATCCTTTCTCAATCTCATGTTGATACTATCAAATATTCTTCTTCTTTTATATTGGCCACGACTTGGTTTTGAGTAATCAAACATTCCGGTTTGGGTAATTAGGTACTTGACAGTCAATTGTCATATTTTTATGAGCTGTCAAAACGCACCAATCACATTTAAATTACATTTAAATTACATTATTTATATTATATTTTGTACAGCAATTTTATGTTATTACGTTACATTTCTGCCAAACTATTATTATTTCAAATGTAATAAAAATCGAATTATAGTTACAGAAAATTCAAAAGTAACTCGATTTTCAGTACTAGATTGAAGTGTTTTTTGAAAACAGTAGTGTCCTGGAAAAATGGGTTATTGATGTAAACAATTGATTATAAAAAATAGTCATAATTTGAGGTAGGTATCTTATGTTAGCTGTAGTCATAAAGGCTAAGATGATGATGTTAGTAGTAATAGGGACGAAAATGCACCAAAATGTATGTCTGGTATGCTGTCGCATCGTCTGTACTAAAATATTTTAAAACTAGCGGCCGCCCGCGACTTTGTACGCGTGAATCCCGTTTTACCCCCTTAGGGGTAGAGTTTCGTAAAATCCTTTCTTAGCGGATGCCTACATCATAACATCTACCTCCATGCCAAACAGCCCGATCCGTCCAGTGGTTTGGGCTGTGCGTTGATAGATCACTATGTCAGTCAGTCAGTCACATTTGAATTATTTAATTTGGATAATCAGGGAAATCGGGCTACTGCTATTACCAATACCATTAAATTGGAAATTAGCATCTCGAAGTTGGTAAGATTAGGAGTTAAAGGAAGTTCTGGAAACTTCCATCGGTTAACTTGCGTGATTAAAGATAAGTTTTGATTGGTGCGATGTCCGGGTCGAGACGACATGTTGATCTGCTAATGGATTTCGATTTCGGGTATCGATTTAAATCGAGTGTTTCCAAGCTACTATTGCCAGTTTAAGGGTGGGTTGCACCACCTATCTTTAACGGTACCTAACATGACGATAACCGGTGCTATTTGTATGGAATTTGACAGATTTTGACGTTTGTCAAAGTCAAAGTAAGATGGTAAATCTAAATCTTTTGGGATCGTTTTGCAGCTACGATTTTTGTAACTGTTAAAAAAACTCAGAGATAATTTAATTTTGTTCTTTTCTTAAGTTGGAAATACATTTAGAAAGAAAAACGTTTTAAGTATAATTTAACTTAACCTGGTATAATACTTTATTAATTGATTAAAGTGCTAAATAAATATTTCATTAAGTGACTTTCTGTCAAGAATCGGATTAAAATATAAGTTTTCATTTCTATTTTCTGATGAATGAACTTTTAACATCTAAGTTTCAGAGATATATTTTTCAAAACTACTTCAACAAGGCTTTTCTATAAAATATATTTACTATAAGTCATCCCTTTGATAAAAGGCTTAGTAAAGATATTGTTAAATAAATGTTTCTTCACTATTTTTATTAGAAATAAATCTTAAAAACTTTCTTAGAGAAAATCTGTAAGTCTTAGCAACAGGTTGTACGTATAATTTTTTTGTAGCAAAATTATATTAATACGTCTACATAAGTTACCACAAAGTAAAGCTATATGTGCCGCTAGTACATAAATGAAATTGCGTTGCCATTTCAAAACAAACAACGCTAGAGAAAATACTAACTTCTCAGCAACATATCCACATTTAGCGAGATTGCATTGTTGGCACTGCACCTGATCTTTCTCAGTGGCTAGAAATATGAACTAAAATAGTACCTATAACTATATTACAGCAAAAGCACCCGATGCATTGAGCAGGGTACTCATCTAGCCGTGTAGCATGTAATGTATCAAATACTGTATCAAGTGAGTATATAGGCACGAGCCCGCTGCGAACTGCTCGCGCGTGGTTTGCAGGGAGATCGCAGCGATCCGCCGACTGGCGGACTGACTGTTTTCACTAAATGTTTTTGATTATTATCTCATCTAATGAGGGTTTCCTTATGTACATATAGTATACTATAGGTATAATTAGTGAAGCCATTGGCAATTAGGCCGTCACTGGCTTAGACATTGGCGCCAACTGGTAAACACTGAAGCGGTAGGAGGACTACTCCCATTGCGTTTGCAATCACCAGTAGACCTATTAGGATAAACTTTTATCGAACCATTTTATATAATTTTGTCGTCTGAAATCATGGATAAGATTGTAGCGTATCTCTATCATGTCCTATCACTCGTCAGTAGCGCAATCAAGGAATTTCCTCATTATTTATGTCTTTTAGATGACAATTGCCGACACCATGAATTACATTAACTAGTAATATCGGTTCATGTACTGATAAATACATATTCATGCCAAATGATTTAAGCCCCACGTTAAATAATACCCGAAAAGAAATACAACATCACACAACACTTAACAAAACGACAGTATCAAAAAGCATGAAAGCAAATCGAAAGACCTGCTATTGGCAGCTTAAACGGCCTTTCCCGATCGAAAATAACATGTGATATGACGTAAGTGGCACTATGTTATTACACGACATGAGATGGCGGATGTATCTGAGAACTTAGTTCGCCTTTTTACTAAAAGGCTAATCCTAAAATAGCGATACTCTGGTATTAGCTATCTCATGTTGTAAGTAGAAGAAGTATTTATTTCCGAATTGACAGCACATCAACCAAACAAAGCCAAGCCACTGAAAATTTCTTTTTTCAATTACTTGATACTTTTGCATTGGATTTACTCATTATCATCATTTCAGCCACAGGACGTCCACTGAACATAGGCCTCCCCCAATGATTTATACATCGATTGGTAGCGGCCTGCATCCAGCGCCGTCCTGCTACCTTTATGAGGTCGGTCCACCTTGTGGGTTGATTTTCTCAACCAAATGTTTTTTATACATGACAAGGCAACGGACAAATTAAACAAAATTTATTAGGTAGTCTAACAAACCAAAATATTATTTATGCCTATTTATCATTCTCGTAGCAGGCTACATCGTAGTCGTAGCAAAACTTCGTAGCTGCTATGTTCTAATTTCGTAACTTCGTAGTATGAATTCTGAAAATGCTAAACTGGTAACTATAATAACTATTCTTGTTTACTCACTAAATATTTTGATGTTAGGCATTGATCAAGAATTTATCTTTGATGTTTTAAAGTAGGTTAGTGTTAGAACAACAATTAATGTGTATTGTTTTGAGGCTCGTGCCTAAAATATTGAAAATAGTTTTGAACAATTCTATTTTCAGTTAAATATTCATAAGTAAATCTAACTTTATTCTATCGGATTTCTTAAGCCACCTCAGATAATACAACGTTGTTTTTATAGACTCAAACTAATTCAACCAGCTTTATTCAGTGCCAAATCCCAAAAATGATTTTTTTTAAAACGTGTAGGTAAAAAATGGAGTACCTACAGTTATTTTATTTGAAAACTGTTTACTTTTAGCTATTCCATTTTGTAATGTTTCTAACAGTATTTGTATTAAGGTCAGTACCTAATTGTTTAATTATTATAGAATTAGAATATGTTAGTTCCTCGGTTGCTTTTAAAAGACGTCATGTGTCGTCCCATCATTATCCCTAATAAACACAGTACATTAATATGTCCTGTATAAAACTGTCACTATGCGAGTTCCCTGTGGATCGGCTCAGTAAGCACCAATCAGGGAATTAAGATCGATTGCCCAATTCCACTGGTCTTGGACTTGTGTGCTCCTTTTGGCACTTCGTGTTTGCTACTTTGTTAGTATTTAATATTTTTGCTGAAGGAAAAAATGTTCGTACACCCACCCTGACATTTTTTTTAGTTGAATGCTACGCAAATAAAAAAAACTTATTTTGCACATTGATGCAATATTGATCAATCTATTTTGATTCCGTTTGTATCTGTCACCGTAAAATTGTGAATTACGTCAGATTATAATCTTACGTAGTTAAATTACAATCTAACCTAACCTAACCCACTGTTAGTTTACAATCTAACGCGTTATATTATAAACTGACAGAGTTCACAATTTCACGTTGACATATCCATTCCATTTTACCTAGATGTTTTCCTTTTAAGTGTTTTCAATCTTGCTACTAAAAAACGTAAGTAATTCAGTGTTTTAGGCAAAGTGCGATTGCTTGTCTACGTTATTATGTGAAATAGAGCTTTCAATATACTGCACGCATCTAAGCCGATTTATTAAGTCAATATCGAAAAATAGTGTAACTGTGTCAGTATCTTATTAAAGATGGTAAATGATGCAATAAACGTATACAGAGTAACAATTTTAGATGTTGTCATAAAAGTATTTTTTTTCCATTCTTTCTCAAATAGGTTAAAACCAAACAGAACAGTAAGGAACAAACGTAACAGTACACGAATTCCACCGATCAATCACCACCAAGTGCCAATAAAGACGAAATCGCTAGATTAGTCCATAATGATTGAAATAGGTTCCTCGACGGTCCAGTGATTTGTCCCTTACATTGACAAGTTGGGACACAATGAAAAAACGATATTGCTTTTCATATAGTGTAATCATGCATGAATTATGGTGGTATGTTCGTGAATATTTGCCTTCTATCGCGAGGACAGTTGTTGAGTCGTATTGTGCCTAACTGGATGAGAAGCAAAAGGAAACTGACAATATAATAATATTATTATCATCTAATTCTTCATTACATATCTTGGAGGAGGCCTTTGTCCAGCAGTGGACGTCATTTGGCTGAAACGAACGAACGAATGAATTCTTCATTAGATTTTGAACCCTCTTTTAGAGACATTATCTGAATTGGTAGTCATTTGAAGTAGGTAGGTTAGTCAAGAATCGTGTGTAAAATGAAAAATCATAAAAATGTATTTATTTTCACTAATTATGTTTAGTACCGAGAAGTTGCTA